TATTCATTATGCAATTGGATAGTTCATATTTGGCTTACCTTTCAGGAAGGAGTATGACATAAAGGTTAAGTGTAAAGGTAATGAAATGACCTGCTGGCTTTGAATTCCAGCTCTGCCATCTACTAATTAAATGACTCTGGCCAAGATATTTAATCTTTTTTAGCCTCAGTTTCCTGATTTGTCAAGTGGAAGAAATAATAGCATTGACCTGAAGGCAGTGATTTTCATGATTACATAAGACAGCATAAAATGCTTAGACAAATACTTGGCACCAGTTAAGCCCTTGAAAAATCTTAGTGATTATTATTATTTTCATTAATTCTTCCTGCCATATTTATCTGGAAACATGGATGTGAGCAATTTAAGTTCATGGTAACAATTATAGGAGTATATTCACTATTTCAATTTCTTGAGTGACTAGACAAATTAACTAATTCAATGGAAACATTTCCAGAACAATACTTAATTTCTATTGTTTGTAGACTTTGGTCTATATTATGTTTGCATGTTTCATGAACAAATTGTAAACATTTCCATGATATATACTTTGCCTTTTTATAGAGCTTTCTTATAGAAGTCATAAACCAAAGAGTCTAGAGTGAATGCTAAAGTGTTTTAACCTAGCATTAGAGCCCCTCAAATAATGATACAACTTTCTTGAGATACTAATTCTCTCTTTGGATATAACATGTAATGCTAAAATTGGAAATGACACTTGAATTATTTGGTCACTCTTTTCCTTACATTTGCTCTCTAGAGATATCCATTTTATGCTGTGAGGCTTGTTCTAGCTTGGTATAAACATACTCAGGAGACTTTTCTGGGATGAATAACACATAGTATTATATTAATAGGTTAGGAAATATTTATGTTAAAAACAACTTCAAGTACGAGGCTACAATGAGCTCTTATCACACCATTGCACTCCAGCCTGGGTGACAAGTGAGACCTAATCTCTAAAATAAATACAATAAAAGTAAAAATAAAAAATGAAAAAAGATAAAAACAAATTCATGGTTTCACAGGTTTTTATGAGGTTAAAAAGATATAATCAAATTTAGATGTAAATTCCATTTAGATTAATCCTTTCAAATAACAAGTCAGACAATTAATAGTTAAATGAAGGTGTTAATTGTTGTGACAAACTACAGAAATCATGAAATTTCACTATCTCGATTATAGTTAATTTTAAATAATTCTTTCCTCATCTTTAAGATCTTGAGGAATGTTCTGTCTGGAAGGGTAGTTCTTATATGAAACCCCACAACAACATCAACAGATCAGTGGGTCAAATGTTATAAAATTTTGAAAGTTTGCAATATAAAAATATTAATAAACTTTGCAGTAATGTTAATTGCTCTAAATTAAACATTTCATCAAATGATCAGTTTCAAATTTCAAACTGCTGTTTTGCTATTGCCACATGGCGGCACCACTTCAGCTGCTAAACAGAAACTTCACCATCCTTTTTTCATATTGGTTTCCAGTTGAGGGAGGTCTTCAGAAACATATCCCTCTCATATGATACATCAGCCTAGTTTTGACTGCCAGAATAGTAAGATTTGTTTGTTTCCCCTGTACTGTTTCTAGTACAGTGTGCTTTTATAAAATTTATTTACCCATTAAAGTTTTACTTTTTAATTGAATTATTGTTTGGCTTCTCATGAAGATTAATTAAATACTTTTTGAGAACATAAAGAGGGTAGTATATTAGCTTCTGTATATTTTTCACAGAAGTCCAGAGCAGAAAGATACCCCCAAATCTAACTCCTTTACATGAACACATTGAGAAATTGAGTCCATTAAGTAACTGGGTTAGGACAATGGAGGAAGATGAAGGTGATCAGGATCTAGCTCTTTCTCCCGAGCCAAGCTGTTTCCGGACATGAGGTTTTACTCACATGTGAAGAGACTGAGTATCCAAGGACACCTAACTATGTGCTTCCATATACAACCCAGTGTGAAAAGAAAAGAAAAAAAGGCAGTTAAATTGTAAACAATCAAAGAGGAAGACCCTGAAGCCAATACATTCACTGAAGATAGTTCATTTTGATCATTTCAGGACCAAGGTGTAGATTTTATTAAAAACAACTTCTGTTTGGCCTCATGTATATTAAATATTCAGACAATTTTTACTTTTACAAGCCCCTGAATCAAATATGGCCACATCATGACTTTAGTGATATTTATTAGCTAAATAAAGTAATCATAAAATTCTCCTAACAAATAATCATGTTTCTGAGAGAAGCATCAGGTACTTTGGGGAGTTGAATTTCCTTGTTTACAGCACCACATGGCTCTAGTATTGGCAAAATCAAACCTATCTCGAATCCAGTGACCTATAACACTGAAAGCAACTTTAAAAAGGAATATTAGTAAATTATGTCTTTAATATTTTTCTGAGGTACACAATCTGAAATTTCACCCCTCCACTTTTGCTTTGAAGGTAGGATGAACATTCTGTAGAAAAATAATATTTAAAAATTATTTTACTAAGGTGCTTGCTTCTTTGGGAAAGTGTGCTATATACTTTCAGAAATTAAAAAAAGAAAACTCACTGAAAACCTCTGTAACACTGATATGAAAGGAGGAAATATTTACCTATTTGATCTTGATAGTAAGTTTTATTATGCAAAGTTACATTTAAGGGGAATCCATGAGCTAGTAAGAAATATTTGAGACTTTCCTTGTGGTAATTTTCAGAAGTACATACACACATTGATAAAATACAAAGAAGAATAGATGGAGGTAAAGAGAGGAAAAAACAGACTGAGACCATGAGTGAGGGAAAGGGGAAAGATGAAGAGAACTGGGTTAAAGGGTACAAACACACAGTAAGACAGAAGGAATCTAGCTGTTCAATGTTTGACAGCAGAATAGGGTAACTATACCTTGCAAAAATGTATTATACTCAGGTGATGGACACCTTAAATACCCTGACTTGATCACTACACATTATGTGCATGTAACAAAATTTCTCATGTATCCCACAAATTTGTACACATTTTTTAAAAAAGACAAACAGAAAAAGCCTTCTTTGAATCTTTTCTTGACTAATGTTTTAGAAAGAGAAAGTCTTCAAGATCCCTTAGTGGGTAACTTCTTCCTTTAGGCAGTGGTTCTTAGACTCCCGGGGAGGTTTCCAGAAGCCTCTGATAAACAAATGCACTAAATCCATGGATATTGGATCAGTAATACTGAATTACCAGTTTAAAACCCTAAAGTCAGAGAAGTCTGGTGACCTGCTGAGGATCTCAGGGCTCCTCTTGCTTGCACTATAGTTCCTGATTCTGTGAAAACAAACCAAGGAACCCCAACTCCTCAACTCTTAAAATGCATATAGCCAGATGCATATGGACAGCAAGAGCACAGACATTTAAAAACAGAGCAGAAAAAAGTAACTTGAACAGAATGTGGCATTTCCCTTGGTCTGTTGCTAACGGCCCACATACAACATGCTTAAAAAATCCCACCCTGGCACTTATTTTCATCATCATTTAAAAATGATTCAAATGGACATTTAGAATGCATGGCATTAAGCATGTATCCCATCTGGGGATAAATGAAAAAGGGCTTCCTCGAGCAGGGCTGTGTTTTTAGTGGTTATCAGGCTAAGGTTAATGTGTAATGGGTCTCTTTGGTCAAGCTTTTAAAGGCAAACACAATATTTTAACTGCCTATTTTCAGTACTCCAAAGCCAGAAGCATTAACTGTTTCTTTTTGTAAGAAAATAGCTATGGACATGATTTGTAAAATGCCTTCAAGATTTGAAGACATGAAAGAAACATTTAAAAAGGAATTACCTCATTTTCTATTATTCACTTTTTAAATTAACCCATAAGCCAATCACACTTTGTTTTATTAAACACTGGAGACTCCTGCTTCTTAGCTGTCACCTTTGGGGTGGCTGTGTTCTGAATATTGTTCCAATTAAGAGTTCTTCACACAAATTCTGAGGGTTGGATATCCTACATATTTATACATACTCTGCACTATAATTTTAAACTCCAATATACTCAGACAAGAGTCCATAACCAGCCAATGGGCTATGAACCTATTTTGATGCTGCCTGCTGTCAGCAAACTGTCTATTGATAACTATCCTAACAAAGTTTAAACAATGTTCATGGTAACGCTGGAAAGCTGCAAGAAAGTAATTATGGCTAGGTGAAATGAAAAACTGACCAATCATGGAATGTATTCGTTCACTGTTCTACTAAGCTCATAGCCCAGCTTTTCTCATTCTCAAGCTTTTGGTCCTGAATGTTACACTGTAGGCATTGTGTTTTAATCATTTCCCCAATCTAAAGATGGAAATTATCCTATGGGGAAAACATCACCTTGCTTTGGCCTTTATTTCTGGAGGATTTTAATGCTTCATTGCTAACCATTATTTTAGTACTGCACACCTGGACACATCGCACAGTATAATGTAATGTATGCAGTCAGGTTTTGGAGAATTTATTTCAATTTACATACAATCCTCCAAATCCTCTGGCGAGCTTGATGTGAAATCTGACACAGCCACATCTCCCTAGCAGGATCTTCTTTTGCTCTCTATGCTAATAGCCAAAGGCTCCTAGGATCTCTCCGTGGAGTGCGGTGGGGCTAAGGAGTCAGGAAGAGGGGTGACTGTGGGGCTTGTTGCGCTAAAGATTTACAATGTACTTCTTGCAGGCGGCTCAGCAACCCCCTCTGTGGCTGTGGGTGTCTGGTGTGACAGAGCGGAGAAAAGCTCTCTAATCTCCCAGTGCCTGCCTCTGCCTCTCAGTCGCTCCCCTCCCTCCCGCCTTTCCTGCCTCCTCGCGCGCTCTCTCTCTCCTTTGCCTTTCTCGGGGAGTTTCAGTCCCTCAGTGCAGCTGGAGTAGCCCTGGCAATCTAAACCCGGAGCCCGTGTATATACACACACGCACACACGCGCACACACATGCACACGCGCTCGCACATACGCACTTCAGCTCTCCCCCTGGGGATATGGAGCAAAACCAGAGCTTCATCTACCTGAAGGGGATGGCCCGGCCGGACACTTCTTTCTCACTTGTCATCTCCGGAGGGCAGAGCAAGACTGGAATGAGGCAGGCTCGCTGTCGGGTCTGCAACCTCCTGCTGTTTGCCGCCACCGCCGCTTAAAGTGCCCAGGGTGGAGAAGGCTTTTCCAGGACAGATCTCCGCCGTAGCTTCGCGGCCCTAGGACTTCCTCCTGCTGGTTCACTCTAGTCTCTCCCACCTCGGCCATCCTTTCCTCTCCAACTGCAGGGTGTATGGCTCGGGTGCCTCCAGTACTGTGGCCGCCGTCACTGCCGCTGAGAGCACATTCCACCCAGAGGACTGAACGCCGCCGCTGGAGTGGGGGGAGAAAGCGGAAGCCCTAACTTCCCTCTCTACACCCTCGCTCTTCCCACAGCTCCCGTCCTTCTCCCCAGGACCGGTTGGAAGGCTCCCGCGGAAAGCGAGGCGAGAGCGCGGCGCAGGGGAGGGAGAGCCGGGAGCCGCAGGCGCGCAGGGGCGGGGGCAGCATGTGCCCCGGCGCAGGGTGCTCGCCCGAGAAGTAGCGCGCGCTGGGCAAGCAAGACGCTTTCCAAGTTAGGCGCGTCCCAGAGCTCGCAGCCCGGCGCCTCGGCAGCCAGTGTCCGGAGTGAGGCGGGGCTGATGGGGGTCGCGAAAGCTGCCGTCGCTTGTGGCCAGAACCCGTCTTAAAAGAACCTGGGCCAGCATCCCCAGTCGCGCGCCCTCGGCCCGCGTGCGCTCTCCGATGCCTGCTCTGGCGGTGGCCCGCGCGGCCCGCCCGCGGGGGGTGCCGGAGGGGGCGGGGGAGGAGGAGGAGGCGGTGTGATGGCCCTGGACGGCGAGCTGGGGGAGCAAGAGGAGGAGAAGAAAAAGAAGAAGAAAAAGAAGAGGAAGAAGAAGAAGGAGGAGGAGGAGGAGGGGGCCGAGAAGAGCAGCTCACCCTTCGCGGCCAGGATGGGGGAAGACGACGCCGCGCTTCGCGCTGGCGGCAGGGGGCTCTCCGACCCGTGGGCAGACTCAGTGGGAGTGCGACCCCGCACCACGGAGCGCCACATCGCGGTACACAAGCGGCTTGTGCTAGCCTTCGCCGTGTCCCTCGTGGCACTGCTTGCGGTCACCATGCTTGCCGTGCTGCTCAGCCTGCGCTTCGACGAGTGCGGGGCGAGTGCCACGCCAGGCGCCGAAGGTGGCCCCGCAGGCTTTCCAGAGCGCGGCGGCAACGGGAGCCTCCCCGGATCGGCCCGGCGCAACCACCACGCGGGCGGGGACTCCTTGCAGCCTGAGGCTGGTGGGGTGGCCAGTCCGGGGACCCCGTCGGCCCAGCAGCCGTCGGAGGAGGAGCGGGAGCCGTGGCAGCCGTGGACGCAGCTGCGCCTGTCGGGCCACCTGAAGCCGCTGCACTACAATCTGATGCTCACCGCCTTCATGGAGAACTTCACCTTCTCCGGGGAGGTCAACGTGGAGATCGCGTGCCGGAACGCCACCCGCTACGTAGTGCTGCACGCTTCCCGAGTGGCGGTGGAGAAAGTGCAGCTGGCTGAGGACAGGGCGTTTGGGGCTGTCCCCGTGGCCGGTTTTTTCCTCTACCCGCAAACCCAGGTCTTAGTGGTGGTGCTGAATAGGACACTGGACGCTCAGAGGAATTACAATCTGAAGATTATCTACAACGCGCTCATCGAGAATGAGCTCCTGGGCTTCTTCCGCAGCTCCTATGTGCTCCACGGGGAGAGAAGGTATGGAGGGAGGCGGTGCTCCGCGCCGCCCCACCCCGCCGCGCGGCTCGAACCTCTGGGCGGCCTGCGACCCTGGGGACCCAGCTGGTTTCCAATACTCGGGAAGCCAGGGGTGGGGGAAGGAAACGAAAGCGGGGTAGGGCAGTCAGAACCCCGGGGTCTCCCAGATGCCTTGGTGTCTCACTGCAGCCAACTCCGCAAACTGACTCGCCGGTGCCAAAAGATGAATGCCGCCCCCTCCTCTAGTCAGGACCTCTCCTCTTCCTGTCAAAGTTCCTTAGCCATTGAAACGCAGGGCCGTTTTTCTGAAGGGTAACTGATAATCTGAGCGATGCCAGAGTGACATGAAAAGCTTGCCAAGTTACTGTCGAGGGAAAATACGTAGCGCTGAAGGCCAAGACAACAGCGCATCCAGGTTAGCTTGTCAAGGCAGGTCAGGGACACACCGTTCTCCACCCCCGCCCTCACATGCCCATCACCCCTGCCTATTAGTAGTCCCCTGCCAGGTGCAGAGCAGAGGATGGGCTTTGGCTGAGTAAACTTTCCCCAAACTTCAAGTTGAGTTTCGGAGTGAAAATAGTGGTTTTCAGAGATAGGCTGAGAGGACCGGGACGGGGGTGGAGGTTGCCAAGGTCAGAGCCAGCGATAAGTGGCCTCGCGGGCGCTGCCAGCTTTGTGCTGAGGCAGGGCGACTCAAGTTGTTTGTTCATGAGTTGCTGCCTCTGGAGATGATTCCAGTGGTCAAGGGTGGGAAAGCTAGTAGTCAGTTTCAAATGCCTTGTTACTATCTTTGGCGCGTTTCACATTTGGGTACTTTGGTATTTTTATTAAAAAAAAAATCTGGAAGTCCGTTGAGCTTTTCACCACTTGTGTAGAGCTCAGACTTCATAATCTAATAGAACCGAGTTCGAATCTCTGCTGTTCATCCAACTGTGGTGAAGGTTTGAAGAAGGTAATTAACCTTTTCCTTTTCTAGTGCTTATTGCACACCCATGTACTCAATCCGACAAGAACCCTATGAGGTAGACGCTATTATCAGCATTCCCTATTTTACGGGCGGGGAAATGGAGGCACAGGTGGGTCACATAGCTTGACCAAGATCACCAAGAGTGAGCAAAGTACGGATTTAGACCCAGGGAGTTTGGCTCTTGAGCCTAGACTTTTAATTCTAACTTGGGGATACCAATAATAATATTCTGCTTGTAGGATTGGTGTAGACGTCTGTGAGTGAATGCATTACAAAGTACTTACCCCTGTGCCTGGCACATAGAGTATCCACCATAAATGCTAGCTCTCATGAGTGTCTTGTGGCAGTAAGCTCTCAGGTATATTGTTGAATGAATAAGTGATTCTTGTTCTTTGCTCTAACTCCCTCATTGCTAAAATAACCTCGATTAATTAAATGACTATAGGGCAGATGAACAACCAAAGTGAGCTTAAAAATTAAACCAAGAACTTTAGAAGAGGAGGCAGGTTGCAGATCAGTAATGAGGCAGAGCCTCTTCTTTTCTCAGGTGATTCTCACAACAGCAGAAAATGGGCTCAGAGAAGCCCAGGGCCCTGGAGGTGAGCAGGCTTGTCAGTGGAGAGCTAGAACTTGAACTTTGGTTCTCTAATCCCTGGACCAGACACAGCTTATGGTGTTTGGAAACTCTCAGAAGAAGTTATTGTGTAAGAGGCTGGGGAAATTGCAATGTGTTGTGAAAGTAAACAAAAGTTTTATTATTTATAGAGTTCTATGAAGTAACCTCCTATAAATAAAATGCCCAATGCTTTAGTAGTTGTATGATAGTTAAAACCTCCTGTAAGTGAATGTATAAATTATTCACTGTCTTACTCCTGACATCAGATATGGATAATTTAAACCCCCTTCTACCACTTCCTCCGACACGTTCTAAACAATACAGATTAAAAATATTTTTTAAACCCAGAATTATATCAAATTTTGGGGAAAGGCATAGAAAACAAATTTGCATACTATGTTTAGGAACAAGCTTGTTATGTCAAAATGTCAATAGTGAGAGTTGCATATCATTACTGACACATCTTGCTGTGGTGAAGTGAATGCTTTTGACAAATCCCATTTTTTGAGCCATGCCAAAATATGTTTGGCAGAACTGAGCTTGTTTTGGTCAATGCTTTCAAATTAACAGGACTCTTAAAAAGACCAGATGTTTCTGCTTGACCCGTAACTGATTTCTTGTAACCCTAGTGCATATTTATATTCAAACTCTATCTTGCAGTTTTCCTCAAAGAAGTAAATAACTTGGTTGGAAGTTTAACCTAGTTCACATATAGTTAAACTCATCATCCCAATAGAAATGCAGAACACAGTGTTTTGAAAATCCCAGGATTGTTTTATTTCTATACAGCATCTTAGAGGAAGTCTTTGTTCCTCATTTTTTTTTTCATTCCTCATTATTATTACTAAAGTAAATCTCATAATTTCTTGGATGTTTCTACTGGAGTTGATAAAGCAAAAGAAATAAATCTAATAAACCATTTCATAGTTATATAAACTTTCTATTTATTAAACTTTTTTTGTTACTATAGCCACTTGGAGCATTTTTAAACAGACCCTTGTCAGCATCTCAGCTAGGGTTGGACTTTGGTGATGATTTTGTCCACAAAATGCAATGTAAATTGGCATTCTAAAACCCACTTTCAAGTAGGACACAGATGTGAACACTGAATTTTCATTTGATTAATGATTAAAAATTTTGGTCTTTAGTTAGATATAATTTTGCCAATTTAATTATAGGATAATTTCTGTGATAAAAACAAATATTTAATCTGATAAAGGAAGTCATATTGAGCAAGTTGAAATGCTTAAAAGAGCAGTGCTACAATACAGTTCACTTCTCATCCTATGCGGAAACACTAACTCATTAAAATCCTATCAGTCTGATTCTTCAACTTGCTTCTCAGAGGCCCGAGCAAAACAATTTTGGCGACAGCAGGGAAATTAGATTCCACTGTGTGCTATATACCTTGGACCTCTGGAAGGTTTTATCCCCTGCTGGGTGTCGTAGGTAGCCTGGCTTTGTACAACTGGGAAGACTTGCTTTTCCTGATTTCCATACTGTAGTGTACAAAGGTTAGAAGACAAGCTCCCCACCTGAAGCCGAAGGTTTCCCAAGTTGAGACAAATTCTCTACCCTTGGTTCCTGCACTTGTTGAATATTGAAAATAAATTCTCTTAAAATCAACATGTTTATACACCAAGAAGTAAATTAGGCAGAATACATACTCACTTTTTCATCAACTAGGTGTGCAGCAGGCAGATAAAAATGGGTATGTATTTATGCTGTAGTCTTCGACAGGAGAGTATGCTTGCTTAGAATTAGGTAAAATGTTCATTTACCTGAAATAATTGCCACTTTTGGGTAGCCAGATGGTGGGCACACCCATGTTCAAAGTAGGGTACCTTAATTTAGATCCAGATGGTTGGATTGAAAGGGAAATATAGCCAAGATAAAGAACATTTTATTCACTTTCAAAAGGGAGACTGTTTTTCTTTGACCAACTTTGATACTGTCTATAACATGCCAAAGTGAGACGACGTTAAAAATAGGAGGTCCTTTTCTATAAAGGATTGTTTAGAGAGAAACGAGAGTCTCCAAGTAAAATGAGAAAATAATAGTGATAGTTCTCAAAGAGAATTGGGACCATCCTTTTGCAAAAATCTTGGGGAGAGAATGGAGGATTTTATCTCTGGGTAGGCATTTGCTCTCCTGTGGTATTTCTGTGATCCGATGCCTTGTAATCTTCTGGGAATGAATTAATACTCATGGTATTTAATA